TAGTATCTTTACGGTCACTTCAAAACTCGATCCTTCATGCTTTAGTACTCCGTGTGTTCCTAACGGAGTAGAAGTTCGCTGTTTATCCCTGCCATCTAGGTGTTCTTTTATACGAATACATAGGGGACGTGCGGTTTCACCTATACACTCGTCTCCGCAGACGGTACAGGAAATGGAGTAGACCACACCAGTTGACATGCAATCTCCGCTTTTACCTCCTGGACATATGATACAATTATCCGTAGTACAGCTGCTATCATACATGCGATTTCTTACTAAAATGCGCTTCAGGTTGTTCGGTGGCACTTCTACTATCGACACCAAATCAACTAGTCCTACTTTCTTAAGACTTCTGCGCATTGCTGTACTTATCTCGGTGGAAATGAACGGGACGTAAAAGGGGACCTTTTCGTTGGGTCGGTCTCGCAAGCTCTTTCCGTGCTTCGTTGTACCTGTGAAGTTCCCTTACCCATTCGAGGAAGCTATATGACGTGCGAGCTCGAGTGATTCTTTTCTTTCTTTCTCTCCACTACATACCTGCGAAGCTGTTTGAAACATATTCTTAATAACAGCTCTTTTTATCCAAGGTGGATGAGCGGTTTGAAAATGAATCAGGATATTCTTATTGCTCGGTTTACGGTACCACTTCGTCACGTGCATACCCGTGATGATGTTCACTTGCACGTTTAGAAATGGTAACCAATCATTTTCCGGCTTCTCTCTCGTCAGTTTTATATTCTCTGATTGCTTATTAAGTAATTCAAAGCATTCATCAAGCTCTGCTTGTGTCGCGCAAATCACAAAGCAATCATCAATATATCTACAGTAGAGTAAGGGACGGTGTTCCAGAATAGGCGCTTCTATTTTGGCCATGAATGCTATCGCGAGTGCCGGTGCTAAGCGTTGTCCCATTGCTAGTCCTCGTATTTGCATAAAGTAGCTCCCAGACCATCGAAAAATATTACATTCTAAACACGCTTTCAAAAGAGCCATGATTTGTGATATGGATAATCCGTGAAGGTTCAGGGATTTTTCATGGCATATTAGCATTTCGCATATAGCTTGCATCGCGGATTCGTTGCTCACATTTGTGTAGAGAGCATTGACGTCAAATGATTCCACGATGCATTTACTATTGATACGTGTTTCGCGTAGTCGATCTAAAAACATCTGCGTATTGGCTAGGTGCGATGGGATGAATCTGAGTAGTTGAACGAGTATGGTATTGATGAACCACCCTATTCTATCCGTAGGCCCCCCTACACCGCTTATTATGGGTCGTACCTTGAATGTGGAGGGATCGTTCGAGGCCAATTCCGTATCAGATTGGAGCTTATGTTTTTGATTAGCAAATATAGCACAGGACAGGTAGGCAGTTCAATTTTTAAACGAGCAATGATATCGCGCGGTAAGCTGGCAGTTTTCGCTATGGATACCCATTCTCTGTTAAGTTTTCGATATTGTTTTTGAAATATCTTAACAGTTGCGGGCTGATATAGCGATGTGTCTAGGAAGTGTCTTTCTGTAATCGCAGCATCTAGTTGTTGTGGGATTACCACGAACTCGCCTCCCTTATCGCTGATTGAAAGTCGTATTTGCTTCAATCTAACTAACTGCTGAATCTGCTGTATGCCCTGTTTCTGAGCTAAAATGAGGTTAGACTGCATTTTCCGTTGCCGTACCCGTGCTAACATTTTGAACACTTCGTCTGTGAAAAGACGGAAGGGTATATCGGTTTTGGGATTAGCATTTTGTTGTTTGTAAATATATTTATAAATTAAATATAATTAATTAATTATAATTATTTAATTTTTAAATAATTTATTTTGTTTTCATGCTACTTACTGATCCATTATATGAGTGTTTGGAAAATGCAGTTTCCCTTAAGATGTATGGCAATTTGGGAATATAAAAACGAGAAACAATAGCGTCTTGGGAAAGCGAAAGACTCTGAAAAACAGACCGCAAATTAACTTTATAAAAGAAACACTGAATGTAAAATAATCTAGAAGACATCATTTTTGTTTGAAGGCCTAGGCACTATCCTAAGGCCGCTTAAAAGAGAAATTGGGAGCCAAAGGTGGCAACACCAACGCCAGCGCGCCGAGACGAGTTGATGCAAACTCGTAGTGACAGTCACCACGCCCATTCTAAATAAATGCGGATTACGGTACAGACTTTTGCAGCCGTAAGAAACTTTTACGCTACTCTCATGATCTACCGCCGTCTATTTTATGTTCGCGAACGATGAAAATGTAACAACACAGAGCCCTATGGCACTTTCTATCAAATCAAGAAACGGGAATTTGTTTAGTTTTTATAAATCAAATGGGTACAAAATCAGAGTAGGGCCGAGGAAGTGTTAATCAACCTTTCGATCTGCTATGTGGACTAAATAGATAGTTCCCAGTTTTCAAAACAAATTTTAGAACGATTTTTTAAAATTAGTACAGTAACATTACGGTAATAAGCCGTATATCAGCGTTCATCCTACTCTTGTGGCCAAATGAATATCAGAACTTTAACTCTGAAAAATCAATTTGAATAAACTTTAGTTCTTAAAAATTCAGGAAATGAAGTTTAGCTGTGAAATTTTTCACCAGAAAACTACCGCACCCTATCTACAAACATCATCCAGTTTCCCATTATGGCGCGATCATCAAAAGACTAGCAAGAGCAGCTCAACGTTAAGCATAAGGACATATTAAAAGAGTACAAAGACGATGAACGTGGACCGGGGAAGAAATGCAAATAAGGAACGAGCACATCAAAGGAGACGCGTACTTAACCCAATTGACCGACTCGTGCATGTGCGCGCAACTCCTCTTGGAGGCACTGTAACCGCTCTACAGTATGCGGACAAAAAATTGGTGGGGGGGGGGGAGACCTGCACTAGTCTGCATAGCCGTAGTGAAGACGAAGACAAAAGAAGAGTACAATGTATGCAGCTGGGAATAATACCCCTGGAAAAGAAGAACGAGAAGAACCTATGATTACGAAATGAAAAGGAGTGGTGCGCGGAAGGACTGGACGAGTTGTATCGGAACAATGTCAGCAGCTCGTGTGTGCGATGAAGACGACGTGGAAGATGAGTTGATTATGGCAATCAAAGCAAGGATAATTACTCAAATGAAAGTCATTTGATACGCGCTGCTGCTCCCTTTTTCTTCCAACCATGCGCCTTCACCCCTTACCGTAACGCTGGTAATGGAACAGTCGGTAGGGCTAATTACACCTCTCAAGGAATTCAGTTCTGCCCGGCAGGAGGTCACATGTGTTCAAAGATGGATAGTGCGGTGATATATGAAGACCATGGTAGAGGTAGAGGAACTGGTCCACAAAATGCTGATTATTCATTGTACCTGAGTGAAGGAAATTGCAAAAGCTAGTGATCCACTTTGATGATCAGCATGATCCACTTTCTCCAATCCCTAAAAATCTCAAGAGTGCTGTAACCCAAAAAGTCTGTGAACACACACATAAGCGCCACGCGCAGAGACGGCAAGCTGCGGATGAACAGCATAAGTCTAACAGATATGAGACGATTAACGTGACCGCTCATCGAGAATAATCGGCGATGGTTTAGTGGAGGTGAATGCGGTGGATTGTACGGTATTGTGTTCGATAACTCGTACGCTCAAATGAGTAAAGTCCTTCAAAAGCGATTGAAGCGTCGAAGCGCTGTCGAAAAGGTCAATTCGCTAGTGTTTTTGGTTGAGAAAAAAACCTGTTCTAGTGGAATGGTGAGCGATTAATGGGTGGGAGGAGAGAGGAAGACGAGTTGGCCTAGAGGTCAATTTTGCTCAGGACAGAAAATTTCAAGAATTTTGGAATTTTCAGAATTGCAAAAGTCTCCGTCTACGTATCCCCCTTCTGCCTTCGCCCATCCCCCTCTACCTCCTCTTCACTAATCAAATACACACCGCTTATCACAACAACAACGTTGATAACAGCTGCTAATGTGTGAAAATCCCTTTAATCCCTATATGACCTTATTCTTGCCCCGCGCTTTGTAGCTCATGTTTGAACGTAGTCTGAAAACCTAACCCGGACGAGTTTTCCCTTGCTTACCAGGGATAAATGCTTGACGCATTGTGTATGACACAAAAATGAGTTGAATAAATTTTCGTAATATTTACAACGATGGCTGTGAATAGGGTAAGTTGAACAATTTAGATTAGAAAAATGTTAATCTCAAAAAATACGAATCTTTTCGGCGTCGTTTACGAACTTTTATATTTTTAACGTCAAGCAAATTATCCGTACTATTTAGGAGAGAAAACTTCTCCAATTATGCTAAAAGATAGTTACGATATTTTTCTGGTATCTTCTCATTGCTTCTTTTTCCTTTAATTTTCAGATAACCACAACGAGACTCCACTTTGCTATTTTACGAAAGTGTGGATTGTGTCTTACAAAGTTTGCAAAAGCAAATAATAAAATGTTCTTTTCCATATTCCACCTCTCTCCCTATATTTTCCTAATTTTCATCTGATTTTCGTCCATTTTATTTCCACATATTCTGATTTTCCAAACACTGTGCGACTCTCTCTTCTACAGTGTTTAAAAACGGTAAAAATCTATGGATTATCACTTTAGTATGACGGAAAAATTATTTTAAAAATTGACAAAGCATTTTGAAGTAGAAAATATGTGGTTTTCGTTAAACACTCTAGTCTAGCTGAATGTGCCTTTGTAACTAAGCATAAATGAAGGATTTTTTTTTTGAATTTGCAGTATAACGATAGCAAAGAGAATAAATTGAGCAAAATGCAAATAAATCCCGTTTCATCTTGGACCTAAATAAAATGGTAAGAGATCTCCGCGTTCTCACTGCATCTTTACTAACAAGAACGGTTCAAATATTCGATGAGAAGCACCGCACAATTTCGCGTTGCCCGGCTCCTCCCCCCCCCCTGAGTTGAAAAACTGAAAATTTTTCCTTTGAATCATTGAAGAGTAGGTTAACGCATGGTTATAGGTAGACTGATTTATACAAGGTAACAAAAAGAACATTTGATGATTGGGGAAAAAAGAGCATCAACATATTTACACAAAATCAAGCATGTAAACATGACTAACAAAAAATCCCTTTTCATCCGGAATTTGAAGAAGGCGGGAACGGTTCCTTGGTTCTTGTGTAGAATACTAAAAAGTTTGTGCGAGATATATGACCTGGATGAAATGTAACTAAGCATAAATGGAGGAAAATACTCGCAAGAATTACCTCGACAGTGCTTGCAGAGGCACAGCTTTTGTCACATGAATCAAGCAAAATACAAAGATCGTAGCCCTCTAGAGAATTTTCACAATTTCTCGTAAAAGTCCAATAAGGTGGAAAACACCGAAAGAAAGTGCTTTCGGAGGTGTAGTCGAACGGCTATTCAAAAATGCAACCGGCCCGTTAGTGTCGGGCCGATGGGCACCCCCCTTGCACTAGCGCTGATCCCAAGCTAAACAAACAAATATTAGTAGGCGTGGAGTAAACGAGCTTCAGATAGGGTTACACACATTCACGCACACCTTCTACGCGCCGATCTGGGACTAACAGATGTTCTCAAGGATAAACTTGAATTTTTTGGGCGTTCTTTTGGGGACAGGTGATGCATGCAAATCAAGAGGAACTTCTAGCCCCGCTCACTCTCACGCTATGCCGCAAAGTCGTGTCGAGACCTACATATATTGACCAATAAAGGGTGAGCCTCCGTTTTAGGGCGAAGTTTCAAACTGCCTCTCATTCTCACCGTTCAGAATGAGTGAAATATAATACTTCGTAATCCAAATTTGAACAAACTCTCACGTAAAACACTACGACGACGCGACGTAACGGTCCGCTCGTCGTTTTTGTTTCCCTTTCGGGCCACGCACGGGTTCGTTGGTGATTCATAACATGCCTGCAGCATATCCCGTTGTTTCTGTTGTGCCTCCGTTCGCACCCTAGTTCTCTCATCGTTTTTGAATGGCAGAGACGTTCTAGCGGTTGGTTATAGAATATGTGGAAAGTTTTTCTAGCAAATAAGAAATTGCACGACTATGGTAGAGTAATTACGTTTTCTTGGTATTGCAAGAAAAAGAGTCAAGCAGGAGACATAGTGAGACTGAACAATAGAGTACAAAATCTCTGGAGTTCTTCCTTAAGTTCTGGGGGAGCCCGAAGATCTGAAAGTCTGTCTAAGAAAAGCGAAGTTAAGGTGGAATAACACGTATCGGATGATTCAACTTTCATTACATTATTATTTGAGAAAGGTCTTGATCACGGTGATTTATAGATATCTTTTTAAAGATGGGTGTTTGCCTTCCTCTGGAGTATTCCCAACAACTCTTGAGCTTGATAGCTTTTGAACTTCGAAATATAAATATTTGAAAAAACTATACCTATCAAGTTTAGTTGAGAAGTTTTTTTGTAAATCTGGTCACACAACAGAAAAAAAGTAATCACAGCCAGATTTGGAACAACTCAAAGCTTTTTATCGCCGAACACTGCATGTTAGGCTTAGATCATGTAAATTGTAAAGCATACGCTCCTAAACCGGAATCCAATCTTTGAGAGACAACTGAACTATCCATAGACACTGCAAACAGAGGTAACTTGCAATGCATTGCAGTAATTTGGCTGCCCTTTGTGAATCCCTTGGTAGCATCTCAAAGCCTAGTCCAGATTTTCGGTCGCCGTAGTTTTTATACGAAATTCGGAAGTTTTAAATTGACTTCTAATGACTCTTTGATTTATCGTCGAAATGAAAGTTGAAGGTAAATTAACCATGGCTATCTCTTATAAATCTACTGAGAGCATCTCAAAGTTAGCCCAGATTTTGGGCCGCCATAGTTTTTCCACAATGCGGAAGCTGTAAATTGACTTTGAATGACTTGGTTTGTCCTCAAGATCAAAACTGATGGTAAAAAACCAAAGAAGTCGCTTTCATACGCTTTCAACAAGTGTTCGCTGAGGTCTACGATTACGCCATCGCTTCTCCAAAAATCGCGCAATACGAAAACCGCTCAACATATTAATGCACCCAAGAACACAACAATTGAGCACAGTGCTCTTCACTCGTCCACAAGAGTAGCCAGCTATCGCCTGAAAGGGTCTGCGCATATTGCGTAACCACTGAATAACTGTTACGGGGGTGGTAATGGTTGGGTGACGTCACACGGAGACCTCTTAAACAGGACTCGGGTAAAAGTTGGTAAGTGTAATATGTAGTCGTGACGTCAGATTGATTTAGTGTTGACATGGTGAAAAGGTAGTCGGTAACCACATGGGTCATCAAGGCTTAACTAACAGCTGGTGGATACTCTACCTTGCCAGGGAGGTATGAGGCTATAGTGCCTGCATACCGGTAGGTAAGCGAGCTAATGTCCATAAATTTCTGATCCGTCCTGCCTGCTCCTACATACTATCTCGACGCGAGTCCCTTTTTTCCCCTCCAAATGGCCCCGACGCCATGAAAATGTCTAATTAGCGATGTGAACGTACCGACACACAAGGTAGAGATAAGCAACACTGTTATTGCTAGATAAGGCCGGAACCAGCGGCGGTGATCAAGGTGAGGGTGCCGAAGGCGTTCGGGAACGAAGGGAGGAAATGGGAAGTGACGCAAGATCCAGAGGAGACTTGATTTTGGGACAGGACCAATGAGGAATGTGGTATGAGGCGTGTGATTTCTAATAGGGCACAGGAGAAAATGCTGTGTGTTGTGTTGTGTATGTTGGATTAGGATTTTTTGCAAAGATCCTATGAGGACCGTTTTTCTGCAGTGTCAAGGTGATAATTACACATTTAGCCCGGGAAATCTATTAGGTTGGTAAGAAAGTTCTCGGACATTTTCAGAAAAAATCTGCTATTTCTCGAAACATAACGCATATACATCAGGTAGAGGTACCATTCGATAGAGCAATACAAGATGGTATGCAAAAATTCGCACCAGCTTTGACCCACCGTAAGTTTGCACCCAAAATCTGAGTCGTACTGAAATTCAAAAAATCGCGAAAAATTCATATCTTTGTTCAAACAAATCCTCCCGATCTCTAACTTGCTCACAAAAATTGCACACCACATCAGACACTCATATGCACCGTTCCTGTAATTTTTTCTCGTCTAGAAATTGAAAAAACGGAACTTTTGATGCTTGTATAAAAACGAAGCTGTGCTGTTTCCACCCACGTAATTGAATAGTATAAGCCCTTAGAAGTATAGCCGTAAATTTTCAGCTTTCTACAGGCCCTAGTTCCCGAAAAATTACCGAGTTGAGCGTTTCTCCCTCTAGCATTCCATGCTAAAATCAATATTTTTCGACAACTAGGGCTTACGGAAAGCTGAAAATTCACGGTTATACTTTTAAGAGCTTGTACTGTTCAATTACGTCGGTGGAAACAGCACAGCTTCGTTTTCATACAAGCATGAAAATTTCCGTTTTCTCGATTTCCAGATGAGGAAAAATTGCAGGAACGATGCATATGAGTGTCTGATGTGGTCCGCAATTTTTCTGAGCAAGTTAGAGATCCGTAGGATTTGTTTGAACAAAGATATGAATTTTTAGCGATTTTTTGAATTTCAGTACGACTCAGATTTTGGGTGCAAACTTACGGTGGGTCAAAGCTGGTGCGAATTTTTGCATACCATCTTGTAGAGCTTGCTTTTTTCTATCGAAAGGTACCTCTATCTGGTATATATGCGTTATGTTTCGAGAGATAGCAGATCTTCTCTGAAAATGTCCGAGAACTTTCTTACCAACCTAATATGTAAACACAGAATTTTGCAGCATCAAAGCAGGTAAATATACGAGAGAATGTGAGGTATGATGAGTATTGAGCATCTGTTGCTCAAACATTTTTTGTTTACTCGTTAATTTGGCATATCAACAAAATCATGCCTCAAAAAACTTGACGAAGGTCCTTACTTTCGAAGTGAACATGATTGGAGGTTGACAACTTTTGTTGAGTAGCCAACCAATATTCGATGGGATTCAATGTTTTTGATTTTTGAATAATTTTTCTTACGACGGTTCAAACCCCGCGAAAGAATCCCGTTGACTGTAAATGCGACTTGTTAGCTATGCCAGCGGCGCCGCACGCGGATGGGGATTACCGTAGTGCGAACGAGTTTGAGGCGTTACAGGAATATGAGAGGGTCGGGCGGTCACTTGTAATATATTTAGCAACTCAACCTGACCAAGGACATCCTAGACAACAAACAAAACGACAAATGTGACACTATAGCCCCGACACGGGTCCCAGTGTAAGTGCTGGAAAGGGGGAAAGGAATCAAGGTAGGGTGTTTGATAGGTAGGTAGGTGTTCAGCTGGAAAGGGGGAGAGGGAGAGGATCATACCATCGGACGAAGTAAAAGCGAAAACTACACGGAGCAAGTGTTTTCGACTTTTCTTGGCAGTTCACTTTTAGCGTAAGATATCTTACCGGTTATTCGGCTTCAACAACCGGATAATCCGACAACTTATAGCAAGGTATCAAATTTTTTGCAAGATACAGCGCTGTCTGGTTATACAATCTTCTTTTTGTTCCATGTGCGGCCTATAAATTCATTTAACTTCTTACGCCTCCTCCAACCAGATTAACGAGAAAAAGCCTAAGCATCTAATCAAGGGAAGAATGTTTTCAAGTCTCGAAATTTCATCTTTCCATAAAGAAAGTGCCTGAGCACGCATGAATGAGTAGGCAAGAACGAAGAAACATACATAACCTTGCCCCACTTAACCGATATCTCTGCTACTGAAGCGGAAATTCAAAACTTGTGATTTCACTCTACGCTTAATTTGCTACAAAAACTGTAACTATCAACGAAAATGGAGCGCAATAAGAAAATGAATCCCTTCTATGGTTTAATGGAAAAAACATTCTAGTTCTTTCTAGTAATGATTGGAGAGGAATGGAAAGCTTCTACGATACACTTTCTTCAATAGGTTGCTTTTATCGCTGTGTAATTAGTGTTTCTGGGGAATTTCTTTGAGGACAAAAAACTTTTGGATGACAGATCCCTGTAACATAATGAGCTCATCATATTTTGCGAAAACCGTCTTGATGTGAGCATTTATAGTCGCTATCAATAACGGCTGGGAGAAGTAGCGACACTGAGATTATAGGAATTTTCTGTATAAGGTTGAAAAAATTTGTGCAGTTCGAAAGCCAGTTTCATCGGATCCGCCGGAGAGCTGCAGTAAAGGCATGAGAAGCGAAAAGGTACGGTAATGAACAAACGAAAAATCCGAACAATTCTTGAATTAGATTCCTTAAAGTAGAGCTCTTGTCAGAAAGCAATG